ATTGTCATTATTGTCAAGAACGCTTATGGTTATTTGTGTGGTTCCGGATCTTACTGGATTCCCCCCATCTAATGCTGTTAGTAATATTTTGTGGACTGATTTTTTCTCTCGATCTAGAGGCTTTTCTAATACAAGTTCCGGGACGGTCTTCCCACCCTCGATTTCTTTTATTCTAAGGGAACAACATTCATTTTTACTGAGAGTGTATGATTTAAGGGAATTGCTTCCAACGTCTGGGTCAGATGCGCTCTCCAAAGGAAAGCGTAGACCCACTGCTGCTGACTCGGCTATGTTCAAAGACAAATCATTTGAAAGAAAACGTGGAGAGTTGTCATTAATATCTCGTATTTCCACCTCAATTCGATGTAACTGTAACGGATCTTCAATGACCACCTGCAAAGGCAACACACAGATGGCGCTTTGTCCACATAAAGCCTCTCTGTCTATTCTGTCATTCACCACGAGCTCGCCCTTCCCCGCATCCACGCTGAAATACTGCTCTCCAGCCTCAGATGCAACGCGCAATTTACGGTCAAAAATGTCCGAAAGTCCCAAACCCAGATCTTTGGCAAGATTTCCTACCACAGAGCCCTGTTTTAGCTCCTCTTGGATGCTGTAACGAGTCTGTGCGTTTACTGTAGTCCACAAGAGGAAGAAATGATGCCACCAAAGCGCCTGCCATCTCCAGTCTCGATATTCCTTTCTCTTTGTCATCCCTGATTTAACAAAAAACACAATATCCACAAAGAACGGAGCCCATAAAGCAAAAATCCGTATTCCAAAAACGCGACATATCCCATTGGAATGATACGTTTTTATAGCTAAAGATAGGATTAAGATTTAACCTTATACTCAAAGTGTATGAACCATTTGCCTGCTCTCTATCCTCTCTGAGCATTGTGATGGCTGAAGCTGCATGGGGGAGAGAGTAGATCTCTTTGTACAGTTCTAAATGCTATTGGTGCACAGCATCCATCGCTGACATCCAATGAGAAGGCAACGGCGCAGCATCGTTAAAGACACAATAAGGCTTTTGCACTGCCATGATAAAAGGATTGAAAACACCCGAAACTCCTTATATCATCACAGTATTTTCATCATAGAACATATTAGTCACAACATTCGATTTATTGAGACAAATTTAGGATGTCTGTGGGAAGAT